CCCCGGGTGCCGCGGCCTGAGGGGCAGCCCCCACCTGGGCTGGTTTGGCTGGGAGGGCGCTGCTGCCTCTGCCAGTGGGGCCCGTCCTCGTTCCAGCTTCCTGCTGCTCTGGAGTGCAGTCCTCATCATGTACCCAACCAGCCTGGCTGTCATCTCCATGACCTTCTCCAACTACGTGCTGCAGCCCGTGTTCCCCAACTGCATCCCCCCAGCTGCCGCCTCCCGCGCACTCTCCATGGCCTGCCTGAGTGAGTGCCTGCTCTGAGCCCGCGTGCTGCTCGCTGGTGTGGGAGGGCTGTGCATGTTCGGGAGGGGGCTTCCCTCCACCTGCCGGCCCCCTGGGAGCTCAGCCTCAGGGGGTGGGCTGCTGGGGGTGGGGGCTGCCGCTCTCCTGCAGCTTGGGCCAAACTTGGCCATGGCCTACCCGCCCTCTCTCCCTTCCTCCCCAGTGCTCCTGACCTGGGTGAACAGCTCCAGCGTGCGCTGGGCCACTCGCATCCAGGACATCTTCACCGGCGGGAAGCTGCTGGCCCTGTCCCTCATCATTGGCGTGGGCTTTGTCCAGATCTTCCAAGGTAGGGCCGGGGTGGGGCCGTGGACAGGGCTGCGGCGACAACACTGACCCCTGACCTCTGGACCCCCAGGACACTTCGAGGAGCTGAGGCCCAGCAATGCCTTTGACTTCTGGATGACGCCCTCTGTGGGTCACCTGGCCCTGGCCTTCCTCCAGGGCTCCTTTGCGTTCAGCGGCTGGAACTTCCTCAACTACGTCACTGAGGAGCTAGTCGACCCTCGAAAGTGAGTGGGATGCCTGGCCGAGTCCTGGGAAGGGAAGGGGTGCAGCGGTGGGAGAGGCAGCCTCCCTGTACAGGTCCGCTGCCTCCCGGGGCCCCGTCTGGTCATCTGCCTGACCGTGCTGCTGCTGGGACACCAGTGCTCCCTGCGAGGCTGTGGGCGGCCATGGCCCCTTGCCGTCAATGCAACCAGCCATCAGCCTTTAGCCAAAATTTATACGTGTGCGCACGACATGCCCTATGGATGAAGCCGATGGCTCCCTCTGATGCTTAGCCAGGGATCTCAACAGTGAACCGCTGGGAGCTGGGGCTGGGCTGATAGGGCGTTCGTGGGGGGGGGGGGGGAGATCTATGCACAGGACTCTAGGGGCACTTTGCAAGGATTTTTGAGGATTTTCAAGGCTGAGTTTGGCTGTATGCACTTTTCTCTTTGTGTACCGACAGTAGAGGTGCCCCTCGGGGTTTGATGTGGCCCTCCCCCCATCAGTCCCTCCTCCCACCTGCCTGTGCCCAGGCTCGAGCTGGGGGGCAGCAGGGGGACAGTAGTGCTGCCCCTTCCCTGTCCCAAGGCCCCCAACAGACCCAGAGTCTGGAGATGGAGACTCCAACTGCTCCCTTGCTGGGTCCTCTGGGTCCCACCTCACAGCCCCGCCACCCACCGGGACTGACGCTGACATACTGCACCGCTGCCCCCAGGAACCTACCCCGTGCCATTGTCATCTCCATCCCGCTGGTGACCTTTGTGTACACCTTCACCAACATTGCCTACTTCACTGCCATGTCCCCCCAGGAGCTGCTGGTCTCTAACGCGGTGGCCGTGGTGAGTGGGGTCCCACTTGTGCCTGGCTCCTGCCCACCCCTCCCTGCCTCACGCATGCCCTCTTCTTCTGTGCCCACTCAGACCTTCGGGGAGAAGCTGCTGGGCTACTTTTCTTGGGTCATGCCCGTCTCCGTGGCACTTTCCACTTTTGGAGGGATCAATGGCTACCTGTTCACCTCCTCCAGGTGACTGGATTGGGGAGGGGCTCAGTCAAGGTGAGGCAAGGCAGGTGCATGCAATCTGGCCAGGGGCCAGAGGGAGACAAATCCTGCCTGGTGGGTCTCATGTGAAGCTGGGACGATGAACTCCCCAGTTACAGGAGTCGGACCCCAACTCTGAGGTCCAGAAAGCAAAAGGGAGGTGGGGCAAGACAGGGAGGAACTGCCCCGTGGGGCTGCTGGGGCCCAGAGCAGGGGTCAGAGGCGACAGCTCAAGAGGGACATCACGTCTGGAGCGGAGGTCCAGGATCTGGTTGGTAGGAGGCCCGTGGCCGGACTCACGGCCGCCACCCATCTCTGTCCCAGACTGTGCTTCTCGGGGGCCCGAGAGGGGCACCTGCCCAGCCTGCTGGCCATGATCCATGTCCGACACTGCACCCCGATTCCTGCCCTCCTCGTCTGTGTAAGTTGTGGGGTCATGGCTGGCTGGGAAGGGAGCCGGAGCCACCCAGCAACGTGGGGAATGGTGGGGATTTGTCTCGGCCCTAGGGGGCAGCCCACAGAGGCAGCGGGGAGGGCCGGGACTGATGGAGGCAGGTGGGAGGCCACGCTCAGCCCGGTCCTCTCCCAGTGCGGGGCCACAGCGGTCATCATGCTTGTGGGAGACACGTACACGCTCATCAACTACGTGTCCTTCATCAACTACCTCTGCTACGGCGTCACCATCCTGGGCCTTCTCGTGCTGCGCTGGAGGCGGCCGGCATTGCACAGGCCCATCAAGGTAAGGCCCGGGAGTGGGGCCGGGCTGGCACATGTGGTCCAAGCCCCACGGTCATTTGTGCTCAGGGAGAGGGGGAGGGGAGCAGGTGAGGACAACGACTAGGATTCCAGTTTTAGCCACGTGCCTGGCCCTGCTCGGGTTGTGTGTGCACTGATGTATCCAGCACCCCCAACAGCCCCACGAGGGGTTGCTGTGTGCACTCTCAGCTTCCAGACAGGAAAGTCAGGCTCAGGTGCTTGCTCCCCGTCACATGGAACCCCAGGAGCACACACAGGACAGGAGACAGGAGAGCCTAGCCCAAGCTGAGTGCACATATTCTGTGCGTATAAATCCTGGAGCCGGACAAGGGCTCAGTGCCTAAAAAAGGTGACACACCGAAAAAGACAGAGACGTCAAGCCAAACAGCCAGGGACACATCGTTGCTGTGTGCAGCTCAGGGCCACGGAAACTTCAACAAATCCTTAACCGTTGGGCACCCTGGCCATCCCCTGAGGTGGCTTCTAGCTTGTTGGGCTGGAGGGGGGGAGCCCTCACGCCCCAGCAGGTGGGAAGCACGCGGGACCCCCCCCGGGGTGGGGGTGCCATGGGCAGTCCGGCTGGCTCTCCCCCAGGTGAACCTCCTGGTCCCCGTGGCGTACTTGGTTTTCTGGGCATTCCTGCTGGTCTTCAGCTTCATCTCGGAGCCCATGGTGTGTGGGGTCGGCGTGATTATCATCCTCACAGGGGTGCCTGTTTTCTTCCTGGGGGTGTTCTGGAGAAGCAAACCAAAGTGTGTGCACAGACTCACAGGTGAGCCGGGCAGCCTCCCCACGGCGGTGGGACCCAGGGATGCGACCCTCTTAGGGGCTGGCCCTGGAGCAGGTCCCCCCCACCACCCCGGCAGCTGCGGTGGCAACAGGATCCAGCCACCACCGGAAGTCTCCCCAAGAGGTGACCCCAGAGTCCAGGATCTGCCTGAAGGGAGCAGCTTCCTGAAGACCCCTGCCCCACAGAGTCAGACCCAAGGTCTATCTATTTGTCCATCTGTCCTCAGAGTCCATGACACGCTGGGGCCAGGAGCTGTGTTTCGTGGTCTACCCCCAGGGTGCCCCCGAGGAGGAGGAAAATGGCCCCTGCCAGCCGCCCCCACTGCCCGCCACAGACAAGCCTTTGAAGACACAGTGAGACATTCGCGGAGCCCGAAGCAGCTGTTTCTGTTTACATGTTGTTTATTGAGGAAGTGTTTTTGCAAAATAATTTTTTTTTTTTTGGATTTTTGTTCTGTTTTGTTTTGTCCTGGAAAAAAAAAGAGAGAGAGAGAGAGAGAGAGCGATCCGACATTTGGAGGCCTAGGCTGAGGGAGCCCTGCAGACGTGGGCTGGGCTCCCGGTCAGCACTGCCCCACTGGCTTCTCCTGCAAAGGTCTATGAATAAAACAGGGCTGGTGGGTGGTGTGCTTGTCTCGGGTGAGTCCCTGGTGGTCATCACTCAGCGGGGCTCGCATGGTGCTGGCTGCGGGCGGGGCCCCAGCAGGCTCTGGAGGAGGCCTTTGGTGTTTGGGGACTCCGCCTCCTGAGCCGGACACTTCATCTCTCCCTCGTGGGGTCCGGAGCCAGCCCTGCCCCAAAGGAACGCCGGGATCGGGAGACCCACAGGGCCAGCCCAAGGGTCAGCCACTCAGGAGGGTCTGGGCTTTTCTGTGGGAACTGCCTTTTGTTTTTGTTTTTTTCCATAAATCTCCGTGGAGTATCAGGACTTGGGAGCCCGTGGTCTCGCTCTGGTTTACAGGGAGAAACTGAGATGGGATGGAAGATGGGATGGAAGTGGCCACAGTCAGTTGGTGCTCAGCCGCTGTCCCTCGAGAAAGCATCCAGCAGCCTTTCCCAGGTCGGGGTAGGGGGGTTCGGGGCCTGCAAGAGACCGTAGGCTTCCTCTACCCTGTGCCCACATTCCCAGCCATGCCCTCCTGCCCTTGAAATTAAATCTTCAGCCACAGGGCAGAGGGCAAAGGGATCCTGCCTGGCTAGGCCCACACTGACACCACAGGCATGAGGACGGGGACAGAAGCCTCTTTGCCTCTCCTCTGGGCTGGCTGGGGGGATGGAAAGAGGGCTGAGCACCGGCCGGGGACCCTCCCCGGACTAGTCCATTACACCCACGGTCCTCATTTGGTCTGGCACAGCTCTGGCACCCCGGAGGGTGAATGAAGTGAGAAGCCACAGAAAACTCTCCACAGAGCCCTGCCCTAGCCCTCCTGCTCCCCGGAAATAGATTCCCAGAATGGAGGAGAAGGAGGGAGAGGGAGACCCCAGGAGGCCTGCCTCAGGGATCCTGACCTTACCCGCCTCCTTGCTCCAGCCCTGTGTGGCCCCGCCCACCATGCCCACCAGGGCTGGGGCTGCCGATGCAGCGAGTGGGCAGCTGGGCTTCCAGGCAGCCTCTCTGCAGGAAAGAAGGACGCGGAGGCAGGGTAGAAACGACTGTGTATTCCCTGGTTACAAAGCGGGGCTGTGGCGGTCACCAGCAAGTCCAGCGGTCAGCAGACCAGCAGGGCCTCATCATCACTGGCCTCCAACGTTGGGGAGCAGGGCGGTGGAGGACTCCTGCAGACACCCAGTGGCTCTGGTGGGTGGGGGCCTAGGGTGCTGCTGGCAATGGGAACCGGGGGATGAGGGTCCTGGGCCGAGCAGGGGTCCCGAGGCATGTCCCCAGGGGCCGGGCTGTCCACCAGAGGGTCCCTGCCGGCTTTTCTGTCCTTGTCCACCAGCCTGCACTCCGGGTCCCGCAGGCCCGAGGAGGGTGGCACAGCGGATCCCACTTCTGGCCCGTGGCCTGGGGCACTGGGGGGCCCATCCCCAGCCGCCACGGGGCTGCCTGTGTCCGTGAGGGCTGCTGGGGGGTCCGGGGTGGTCCCTGATGCAGGCTGGAGGAGCCCATCACCCAGCACCGTCTGTGAGGTGCGTGCGGCCGTCAGCAGTGGGATCTGTCCCCGCGGCGCCCGCGGCCGGTGAAAAAGCCTGTTCCAGAGGCGGCCAAGGCGGCGGCGGGAGGGCCCTCGGCGGGAGGCATGCCTGCGCATCTGTCTCCGCATGGCTGTGCGAAGGTTCTGTAGCACCGAGGCCTGGAGGGCAGGGTGGATGGCAGACAGGGCAGAGGTCAGTGCCACCCCAGGAGACCAACTGATTTCCCCCAACCTGGCCGTGGCACCCTCTCCCGCTTCCCTTGAGCCTTGGGCCATGCAGTGTCCGACCTGGTCCTGCGGTCTGCCCTTCTGGCCGTTCTCAGGGGTCCAAGTGGGAGCCTGGGTCTCAGGGCTCTCACCCTCAGGCACTCACCTGGGATGCACTGTAGACCGGGAAGTCCTCCACGGGTGGAATGAGGCCCTGGGCGATGAGCTGCCCGTAGGATGGGGGAGCCTCCCGCCGCACAAACTCAGCCTCCAGGCGCGTCATCTGGGTCTCGAAGGCCCTGACGGCAGCAGAGGGCGGGAGGGCGGCATGGCGGGGCTGGCCAGCACCGCACCCCGCCCACCTCCCCGCAGGCACCACCGCCCTCCCCACCCCGCCCTCCAGCCCCACCCCGCGATGCCCCGGGGAAGCCCCACCCGCGGACCGCGCAGCCGGCGCCCGCCCACCTGTACTCCTGCGTGCGCAGCGAGTAGAGCTTGAAGGCGCAGCCCAGCGCGATGACCAGCAGCAGGCCGCAGACCAGGCTGCCGATGAGCGCCGCGGTGATGACCTTGCGGGGCACGGCCGCCAGGCAGCCGTGTTCGTCGCTGCCATCCTGGCAGTCCTCCTGGCCGTCGCAGCGCCACGTCTCGAAAATGCACAGGTTGGTGCCGCAGTGGAAGGTGCCGGGCTGGCAGGAGAAGCAGTTCTTCTCGTCGGCGCCGTCCGGGCAGCTCTTCTGGTTGTTGCAGCGGTCGGCGGGCGTGTAGCACAGGCCGCTGCCGCCCTCGCAGGGGTACTGGTCCGGCGGGCAGGCGGGGCAGCCCTGCTCGTCGCGGCCGCTGGCGCAGTGCCACCAGCCGTCGCAGCGCTGAGGCTCGGAGAAGCAGCCCTGCTCGCCCGCGTCGCCGCCCTCGCCGCCGCCCCCGCACGGCTGCTCCCACGGGAGGCAGTAGCCCTTCACCTGGTAGGTGGCGTTGAAGCCGTGGCCGGCGCTGCGGGCGCGCGCGTGGTAGGCCACCGTGAGGCGGCCCTGCGCGGCCTCGAGGCTCACGGGCCGGTGGTTGCTGCGGTAGGACAGCGTCTGCAGCAGGCGGTCGCCGCGCTCGCCCAGCCCCTCGTACACCTGCACGTAGTCGTCGTAGCCCAGCCGCAGCTCCAGCTGCAGCAGCACGCGCCGCGGGTCCTGCGTGTCCACCAGCCACGTGCAGTGCAGGTCTGACGGCCCGCGAGCCGCGCCGAACAGGTCCGGGGAGGCGAAGGAGCCGTAGAAGCTGCCCAGGCGCCGGCCGCACGCCAGGTCGGGGCAGCCGGCCTCGTCGGAGCCGTCGCCGCAGTCCTGCGTGCCGTCGCAGCGCCGCTCGGCTGGCAGGCAGCGCGTGGAGCGGGCCCCGCTGCAGGGGAAGGTGCCCCCAGGGCACAGGCTGCCCGGCGGCTCAGAGGCAGGCGCCGAGCAGTTGCCCTCGTCTGAGCCATCGCCACACTCGTCCACGGTGTTGCACTGCCACGGGCCTGGCAGGCACTTGCCGTTGTCACAGCGGAACTCGTCGGCCTGGCAGGACGCCTGGCCCAGCTTCCCTGTGGGGTGAAGAGTGCGGGGTGGACAGTCACGGGAGAGCAGAGCCTCCCTCCAGTGGGGACCGGGGCCAGGAACAGGCAGGTGGCTCCCCTGTCCCAGCCCGGCCTCTGCAGGGCCTCTCCATGCCCACTCGAGGGGCGGAGACCCCTCAAACGCCAGGGTGGCTCCTCCCTGACTTGAGCCAAGGGTGAGGGGTGAGCAACCCGCTCTAGCCAAGTCTGTGAAGTGGGGTCCATGAGCTCCAGGGGCTTCAAGGCACCCCGAGGCCCAGTCCCCCAATGGATGGGGCTTCTGGGGGAGACCCAGGAGGGAGTGGGCCAAGAGAGGGTGCTTGTGGGGACCTTGGGAGTCCATGCACCCATGGTGCCCTGCCCTGCCGCCAGCATCACCTCGGATGTACGACAGACGGAAGCCCTGGGCCTGGCCGGAGCTGGAGGCATCAGAGTGGAAGAAGATCCAGACGTGGTCCCGGGCCGAAATGAAGGCAGGTGGGATGGCGGAGCCGCAGAGTCGGAAGGCCTCCTGGCGGGGTGGGGCTGCTGGGCCCAGCATGAGCCAGTCCAGGGAGCACTGGTGGGACTCCTCCACGTCAAAGTTGCGGAAGCTGCAGGGACACAGAATGAGGACCGCTGGGGTGGGCGGGCAGGCAAGGAGCCTGAAGCCCTGAGCTCACAGCAAGGGTGGCCCGAACTCTGGGCCTCTCAGTGGGACCCCTGCCGCCACCCAGGGGTCCAAGGGTGGCTCCAAGAAGCACCAGCACAGCTGTGGACAGCCCCACTGTAGCTCTGTGAAGGTCTCACCTCGTCCCTCGCTGCCCTCCATCAGCACACTCAGAGCCCACTCCAAAGCCAAAGTGGAGGGGGCGTCAGAATCCCCATCAGGAGCAATGCCTTCCCCAGACACTCCAGATCCCTCCCATGCGGGCTCTGCTGGGCTAGACCCAGCACACACTCACAGGTCTATGCAATGAAGGAGTAGATGCCCACGGGGCTGGCCTAGCCTGCAGCTGGGTGACAGCTTGTCACCTGGGGAGAAACACCAGGCCTGGGTCCCTCAGCCCAGGTTGGGGGGCAAGGAGGCTACGGGACCAGGGAGAACTCTATAAGTGGCGAGTAACGGTGGAATCTTTGAAGGGAGAGTGCTTGGGAGCCATGGCCCTGGGGCCACAGGGAAGCAGGCACAGAGACCAAGACAGCCCCTGTTGGCGCCCATCATGCCCCTGTGCTTTAGAGCCAGGGAGAACCCGGGCCCTCTGGGCTTTGGCACCCTGACAGGATACCCCACAGCTGTCCCAGGCCAGGGTTCCAGACTCTGCAACCTGGATCTTGCCACCTGATCCCAAGCCCCCTCTGCACGTCCCTGCAGCTGGAGCTCCTGGGCCCTTGCCTGGCTCCCTCCGCTGCCCAGACTGCCCTGAGGCCCCTGGGGAAACTCTGCTCCGGGCTCCATGCCAGCCTAGCCTCAAGCCCCTGCCGGACGAAGAAAACGCTTCCACCACCTCCAAGCCACCAGGCCACACCCCAGTCCCCACGGCTCATCTCCCTGGCCAGGCTGAGGGGATCCATGGCCCCACGGCCCCTCAGAGAGGCTCACACAACAGAGGTCCAGCAGGAGAGGTGGCCCACTACAGGGGCTCACAGACACCCGGGGAGTTGGGCACGCTCACATGCTCACACATGTGTACACGCAGACGCGCACATGCACCTGTACTTACACACACACCTGCCGTCGGCACCTGCTCACGCACGCGCTCACACACAGGCGCCATTACACACGTGTGCACGCTCTCACACCCACACTTCCTCAGCACGTGCCGGCCCACGGAGCTCCCTCCTGACGCCCTGGGCCCCCTCACCTGATGGTGATCATGTCCCCGCGGTCACCCTGGATGTACCAGCTGCAGTTGGTGCCCGGGGGGTAGTTGAGGGGCCAGGCCGGGCTATAGATGACACCGCGCCTCTCCGTGTGCTGCTCCAGCTTCCCACTGCAGGCGGCTGTGGGAACAAGGGGAAGTGCTGGCCTCCCCTCTGGGTAGGAAGTGAGGTGGGGGTGCCCTGGAGCCCTGCCGTGGCTTGAGCGCAGGTCTTCCCCGAAGTGGGATCAAGACAAGGGCCACACAAGGGTGGCCATGGCCAGGGTGAGACCAAACGTAAGACTTCACGGAAGTGCGTATGGGGGGCCGAGGACCCACAGGGGCTCAAGGCAGCCTTGGGCCCAAGCCCCACCCTGTGCACCGGAGGGTAGGTCCTATCCCCCAGCCCCCCTGGCCCCTCCAGGATGCAGCCTCCTGGCCTCAGCTCAGTGGAGAACTCTGCACCCCTGGGCCTGTCGGGCCTGCCTGAGCAGTCCGCTGTGGTTCCCTGCCTGCCCGCAATGGGACAAATCCAGGCCTCAGCCCCGGGAGGGGAGGGGCTTTGCTCCCCCAGCACGGATTGACTGAGTACCTACTAAGCGGCAGAACAAGTGCGAGGCATGCTGAGTAAGAGACTCAAAAGCCCCACTCCAGGAGGCTGCAGGGAGAGCAGACGTGCTGATCTCCGGCGGGGAGTGAAGATCATGAGACAGGCCTGCACGGAGCCGACGTCCAGTTGGGGCTGGACACTCATCAGTGGGAAGCCACTGGACGTCGATGTCATAACCAGACAAGGAAACAGGCTCAGCGAGGGTAAGGGCCTGCCCATGGCCACACAGCACTAAGTGACAGAGTCAGGAGCACCCGTGGTCCCCTGGTGGGATCAGCCTCTCCCTGCTGGCCTTGAACCAGTGCATTTATGAAGTGTGGACCATCTGCTGCATCAGCGACCCACGCAGGCTAGCATCCCAGCCAGTGCGATCGAGGAATGCCACCAAGCCCAGCCCTGCGGGCCTCACTTTACCCACTTCATTACTCATGCCTCTGCTTCCTGGGGAGCCAGTCCAGCCAGAAGACTCCAGAGCCTATGCTGGTATGCCCTGGCATTCCCAGGACAAGGCAAGTCCTCTGCACTTGACCACACCTGCCCCTTCCAGCCCCTACAGCCACCTTCACCACACCATCTCGTCTGATCTGCACAAAAGCCTGTGGTAAAGGCAGGGTCCATTATACAGATGGAGAAACTGAGGCTGCTGACACCACATCTTCACTGTCCCCCTGCCTGGCCCCTTCCACAGTTGCCCTGCAAGCAGGAGTCTCTCTGTTGGCTCTCAACAAGACTCTTTGGGACCCCAGCCGGCACGGCTGCAGAAAGGAGACTGGGGAGTAGAAATCCTCAGCTGCCTCCCGTCCTCTTAGGACTGTGACGATGGAGGTCCAGGTGATCCAACACTCTTAACAGGGAAGGAGAAGCCCCTGCCAACAGCGCATGAAAGCATCGAAGGACTAGAAGAGAAAACACCCACACTTGACCCTAAAACAAGGCTGGCCACCCATGGGTTGCCATCAGAGCTTCGAGAGTCTCTGGTCAGCAAGGCACCGGCCAGACTTCCTGCTTGGCACTCACCCGTGGCCTGGAGGGCCGGCCTCCCCGGCCTGCAGATCTCTCCCCCGTCAAACAGGAGCAGTAAGAGCACGCACGAGGGGAAGGACTAGAGCCCCTTCCCTCTGACACGTGAGGCCATTGGCTTTGTGGACCTCACAGAGACCCTGGGTGCTGCCTGGGGACCTGGGATGTGTGAGGTTACAAAAGCCAGAAGAGGCTTCTCCTCCTAGATGGTGCTGGGCAAGAGGTTCATGGGCCAGGGAGCCTGGCACAGCCAGGGTGCCTCTTCCCCCCACATCAAATCCACACGGTAAACCCAAAGTCAGGAGACTTGATCAGCCAAGGCAGGAAGCACCCTTTGCTGCCCTGTCCTCTCAGCCCCTAGGACAGGGCCAGGGGCACAGCAGGGCCTCGTCACATGTACCCTGGCTGGGAAGCCTTCCTCAGGCACAAAGAGAAAGGCCAGTTTCCTCACCCGCGAAGCCTACGGGCATCACCTGCCCCAACCAGAACAGGCTTCTAGACCTATGTCTGGTCCTACTTTCCAGGTCTCTTGGACCAGCAGTCACGTCAGGAGCAGACGACTAGAAGCTGCCAGCCCAGCTCTGCCTCTCAGCAAAGCCCCTGACAACATGTCCCTCCAAACAGCCTCCTCCTGAGTCGCCCCCAGGGCTGCCCCAGAAATTCGCACATAGGAGACAGCGAGAGATCACGATTTCTGCAGTCATCAGCCTGGACCACGTGGAGTGCACATGCAGCAGGAGAAAGAACAGAGTCCCTGTGGGGCGCTGGGAGCTCTGGTCAGGGCCTCCTGACTGGATACCCGCTTGGCCTTGAGCCTGGAGGCGGTCCCCAGCTCACCCTCCGTGTTGGCAGCCTCGCTCCCAGCCCAGAATCCAGGCACAGGTGAGGGAAAGGCGTCACGAGTGCACCCCCAGGGCCCACACAGCCAGGCACGCTGTTCCACGCCAGGCCTCAGCTTGTCCCAGTAGTAAAACGGAGTCCCTGGGTGCTGCTTTTCTGGGCAGGTGGTTGGGAAATTCGAGAAAAGAGGCAGTCTCCAGGCAGACACTCATGTGCCAGGGGCAGTGGGGGTCCGCCCTGCGGAGGTGCGGCTCTGACGGGGTGTGTGATGCTGGGTGGGCAGTGAAGGATGCTGGGAGGACTGTGTGTTTGCAGGACAGGATTTGGGGGTGTTTGGGGGCTCTAACTGCTGGTGACCTGTGTTACTCCAGCAGAAAACGACTCGGCCCTCCGGTCAAGGTGCGCTGCTCAAGGGGGAAGGGATGACCAAGCACTTTCAGACCAGTAAGCACCCTTCTTTCGTGGTCCCAAGAGTCAGGAAATACTCCCGAGGCAGCATGAGCAAGGCCTGACAAGAGCACAACCTGCAGATCCGCTTTCCAGAGGCAATCCATGCTCTAGACAACCTGCCTGCCGTAACTACACGGCCGGGAGCTGGGAGCCCCAACCCAGCGCACCTGGGGCAGGACAGGCGCTGGGAGGCAGACCTCATGAGGTCTCCAGGCGGTCCACCCGGGCCCTCGGGAGTGTCTGAGCGGGCAGCTCAGGCAGCCAGCAGCTGGTGTCCACTGCTCTGAGCAACGCTAGAGGCACGGAGCCAAACTCTGGGAGAGCTAGGGCCCCAGACCACTGCCCGTGGCCATGCAGGCCGTGCACATAGCTGAGGCCACGGGGATGCCTCGCATGGACATGCCGGCATGAATGGCGGTCCCAGAAGTTGGGCAACGTGGGCCCTGCTAAGAACGACACCGATGCTGGCTAAGACCTACTGAACGTGCAAACCTGAATGCTATCTTTCTCTCCCTGACTGTCTTTCTCTCTCTGACTCTATGAGCAAAGCTTGTCCCTAGAACATCACTTTCTAAACCCAGGGCACAGGCACGTGGCAGACATCTCAAGGCCACGTGGCCACCCCCCCACACCAGCAGGAGGGCTCTCCTGGGGCTCACATCTGTAAGACCTGACCCCCCCACCCACAACCCTGCCAGGTCCCTACCCTCCCACTCTCTACCTAGGCCACAGACCCCTGACTCCAGTCCGTCTCCTCCTGGAAATTGGGACGGGGCGACTGGGCAGTTCACTGCGGGGGCCAGGACACCAGGTGGCGCTGAGGCTGGCTTGGCGCTGAGCAAGTCAGGGCCCTGGGCCAGCTGCGTCAGCAGAGGAGGCCAGACTGCTGGTAGCAGGAGCCGAGGCACAGGGGAAATCAAGAGGGAGCCCGAGGAGCTGAAAGTGAGAGATGGGCCTGCAAAAGCAGCTTCTGTGGGCCCCAGGCCTCCCCATCCCAGAGACCACGGCCCACAGAGATCCCTCTCCCTGAGCCAGCCACAGTGGCTTTTGGCTACAAGGTCCTGAGAGGAATGAGAAAGCCCGGGTGCCTCCAGCCCACCAGGCGGCACCAGCAAACAAGTCGCAGGCCTCCCACACCAGAGACTGCACATTCTCCCCAGCTCCCTAAGGCCCTTCTCAGACGTCTCCCGGTGGCCCCAAGGGCCACGAGGCCAGGGCTTCCCCATGGCAGTCCCCTCAGCAAAGAGCAAACCCCCTTGGATGGACTCAGTCGCCCGTCCCATTCCTGACAGTCTTCGAGGTGCCTGGCACAGGGCCCAAATGCAAAGATGGTCTATGGATGGTTGGACCCACTGAGACAGGCAGTGGGAACGGGTGGAGTTTGGCCCGTGTTTCTTAGATCCTGCGGGCCACCACTAATCCCAGGGCCCAAACACCAGCCAAAGTGTGAATCTCTGTCCAGCACACCAGCTTGCCTGGGGCCTGGTCTTGCTCAGACAGACCAGCTGAACCCAGGCTGAGCCACCTTCTTTCCTAATTTGCATACCAAGCTGGTGTTTCCCCTGCCCTACGTGATCCCAGGGCCAGGTACCAGGCAACCAGAGACCACCCCTGTAGCCTCAAGCCAGGCCAGAATTCTTCAAACTAGCCAGTCCTGAGCTGTTTCCCCAGCCCTGCCTTGCCTTTCCCATGGAAACTCCAAGAAAGGCTCTGGCCTGGGCCTTCCCCCGACTCCTGCATCTGCCTGACCTGGCGTTCTCCCTGTGTCTCTTCCTCTCAAGACACATAAAAATCAAATTCTTCTGTCAATGGCATTGGCTTGTGTGTGTCATTGCTCGGCCATACCTTGATAAGCTGAGTTCCAGGTATAACTTTAAAACAGGCCAGCATCTCATGGTGCCTCGTGGCCTCGGGGCACCCCACAGCCTACAGGAAGCACAATGTGTCAATTACGCTAGACCCGTGACAGTTCGCTAGTGCCATTAAGCCACCAGGTGTCATGGCCATGCTGAACACCTTGCTTTGCGTGCCCATTTGACCCTAATAACCGGGCTTTGAGGTAGGTCCCATTATTGCACCCATTCTACAGAAGAGGAAACTGAGACTCAGGGAGGTGTAAACTTGCCCAAGGCCAAATGACTCCTTCATGATGCAGGAAAAATGCACAAGTGCTGAGGTTGGAAGGGGGCAGCTGACTGCAGGGGTGGAAGGGTCCTGAAGGCCCGTCCTCAGAGGTCACGAAAACCAGAAGGGCAGGGAGGAAGGAGAAGTATCTGACTCACCTAAGGCAGGAACTGCGCTGCTGAGTCGCCCGGTGAGAACGATGTTTACTGTGGGAGACACAAGGAGGTGTCAGTGGTGGGGGGCAGTGGCACTTGGGGCCCAGACACCTGCCGTGGGCCAACAGCAGCCCTAGATGGGCAAGCCAAACTCTGGGCCGCCTCTCTTCATCTCACAGGGCCGGGCCCAGAGTGCTGCCAGAGAATTCCACTCCCACCCGGTCCTGCTGGGATGGGCAGAGGGGAGGACCCTTGAGGGTCTTGGGACCCCACCCTCTCCCAAAGACAGCCAAGGCACAAGCCTGGCTCCAGCAGACCACTCCTGCTGCCCTCTGTGGCTGCCGACTCTGACTTGTGTGGGAAGGGGTGTGTTTCTACCTCGCCTCTCCAGCTTGGAAACTCATGTGTGGGCCACCCTGGTTCAGCCTGGGTAAGGGCTCTGCCTTCAAGGAGGCCCTGACCTCTTGGAGGAATCCCTCTGAGGGGCCTTGCCAGCCACCTGGTCTACCGGCAAGCCAGGGAGGGAGGAAGCAGTTCTGATTACCCCATTTTATAGGGACGCACAGATAGCAGGATTCAAGGTCCCCCTCGCCATGCCATGCTGACCTTGAGAAGAGGGGCAGAGAACTTCCCTGCCACCCACCCCCTCAAGTATCCACCTCCATGAGCTTTGCCCTTTGCTTTCATCCATGGCTTTCCTGCAGCGGTTTACAGGACCAGGACGAGGATACAGGCAAACTCAACTTCCCAGGGTTCAGGGTGCCCCCTTCCCCCAACATCAAGGATACCAAGGGAGGCAGAGATCATCTCTGCAGGGTCAGCCCCCACCTGGTGAAGATGCAGGGGCAGATGCCCTCTCTGAAAACCCCAGGCTCTGCTAGGCAGAGCCCGGGGCCACATCTGGGAAGTGAACGGGCCTGTCCTCCTGCCCTGCTCACCTGGGCAGCCCAGCACCCAGCAGCTCAGAGCCCAGAGCACATGACCACTAACAGACTGGGCAGTGGGCACTTCACCGGGGGTGGGGGTGGGGGGTCCCATCCATCACTAGACTTTCCCACACCTGAACCAAGGGGCCTTCCACAGGACTCAGAGCTCCCTGATTCTGCACCCAAGAAGAGGGTGTAGCTAAAAACGGACAGGTTTCTTTTTCACTGTGTCCTTTCAGTTGCTTCAAGCAAACTTATTGGGCTTACAGAATCTTCACTAGTGTCACAGTAGGGTGTCCCCTAATGACCCCAAGCTAATGGCCTCCCTCCTTCATCATGGTAAATAAAGGAGCCATGTGGGTTGAGGATTTAACTCCTTTCTTCCCCTCTCCCCCAAACAGGGCCCTGGAAAGGTCGACAGAAAAACTCCTGGACAGGGCAGGCATCCCTCCCACCCAGATGTCAGGCCTAGACAGGTCCCAGCACCCTCCCCAAACACACCCCACTGAGCTGAACAGGCCTGCCCCGCTGGGTCTAAGAGACACAAAGGGAAGACAGGAGTCCCTTTCGCAGCAGCCTCCGGCCCCGGCATCCTGACCGCGGCTCCCGCTGGCACCCGCCCCCACCCCAAGTCCCAGCAGGAAACAGTTCCTTCTTCAGGGGACAGCCGGCCACAGACCCGCCCGCCTCGCCTTTGTCCGCAGCTCCGGAGGCCCTAACCCCGCCAGGCCCGGCGGAAAGCCACCGCCTGCCCACCCCGGCCACCCTCACCGCCCCGCCGCCCGCACCGTCCGGCGGTCCCGCGCCCCGCGCCCCGCTGCCCCGGGCTCCACGCACTGTTCCGAGCCGGGCGGGAGCCGGGGCTAGGCTGCCAGAGTCGCCTCCCAGGCGGGAGAGCACGGCAGGCCGGGGGACGCGGGGGGCCGCCCTCTCGCGCAGGGCCCGCTCCGGGAAGCCCCGGCCCGAGCCCGGGGGAGCAGAGCGGGGCAGGTCGGGGGCCGTCCCGGGCGCGGCGCGGAGCTCGGAGGCGGGGGCCCGACCCGCCCGGCCTGCGCGGCCCACTCACTCAGGCAGACGACGGCGAGCTGAGCCCGGGCGCCCGGCGCCCCCTCCGGCCCCGCGGCCGCCCGCTTCTCCATGCCGGGGCCGGCCGCCCGCGGGCGCCGCCTCCTGCCTCCCCGGCTGCGGCAGCGGCTGCGGCTCCGGCTCGGGCTCGGGCTCCGGCTCGGGCTCCCGCGGCGGCCGCCGGCCGGGTGCGGGCGGCGGCTCCGGCGGCGTCTTTGTGAGGCGGCGGTGCAGGCCCGCAGCGCGCGCGGGGCCACATCGGCCGCGGCGTCACGGGCCCCGCGGGGGCTCAGCGGCGGCCGCCAGGGAGGACCCCCGCCCGCCGCTGCCCCCGCGCCCCGGGCGCCTTGCCGCCGCCGGCCTGTGCCCGGGGGCCCCCGGCGCGCCCATGCCCCGCGGCGCGCAGCCGGCCCGGCCCCGGCGCCCCCCGGCCCACGCGGCCGGTGCCGTGGCTGGTGCGTCGGTGGGTCTGTGGGTCCTCGCGCCCGCCGGGAGCCAGGAGGCCGCGCGGCGCCAGCCACGTGACGCGCCCGCCGAGCCGCAGTGGCGCTGGCCGTGGGCGGGGAGGCGGCGGGGCGGGCCGGGGGCGCGCGCCCCGCCTGGGTGCTGGACAGCTCCGCGCGGCCGCCCCGGCCGGTCGGCGCCTCCAGCCGTCCTTCGCCCTGGAGCCAGGGCCTCGTCAGCTCCGGCCGGGTCTGCTCCCGGGCCCACGAACTGGTCCCTCCCGGAGCCCGCGGGGCCGCCGTGCCCGGGAGGGGAAGAGAGTGGAGGGGGGAGAGGACTGGTAGAAGGCGGCTGCTTAGAGGACCCCAGGGCAGGACGGCGCGAGGTGGCGCAGCGCGCAGGGCTGTCTGCCCCGTGAGGTGTCCCTGTTCTAGCCGGGGGGGCCCTGGCACATCCCTGAAACGCATCCTTCTGTGCAGAGTAAAGCTTGTGAGGAGGGGAACACGTTAGGCCTATGGAAACTCACCCCTTTGGGGACCCTGAGCCCACCTAATCACCCCATCAGGCCCCCGCGGAATGGGAAGAAGACACCAGGCTTGGGGCTGCCACCTGGGAGTGGTGTCAACCAAGGGGCTGGTCCCGAAGAGGCAGAAACCTGGGACAGAGACAGGAGCCAAACAGGGTCAGCCCTCCTTTCTTGAGACTAATGTGAGATCAGAGGTCCTGGCCTGGAGGCTTGGTATGAGCCCCCATGCCTGCCCCGAGCGGAGGCAGGACCTCCTCTTCAGTTACCACCACTCCGTTCCCTAGTCTCTTCTGAGAGAAGGTATAAAGGAACTGATATTGTATTAGTGAAAGTTGTAGACCGTGTAACTCGCTAACTCATTTTTACTGTGCAGGCCAACTGGATTTTAATTTCAAAAAAAGGGGGGGCCGGAGGGAAAATACCTTTTAGTTTTTCTGGGTGGGTGGTGTGTGTTCTCTCTCTTCTAATTTCTTTGGTGATTTTTCAAAAGACGACTTCTTGAGAGATGTAGCAAATGATTGAAGAATCAAATAACAAGATAAATGACTCATTTATGGTAAAGAGCGCGAGCCTACCATAATCTGGTTTCAGAATTTCCCGAGACTGCTGACTGCTCAAGTAATGGGCACTTATGCGTGGCAAAAATGTTCAACAGAATTGCAGAGCTGGCAGGGAGGGTCTGAAGTCTGAAATTTTGTTTCTATTTGAGGATGCTTTCTAGATGCATGCTTTCCAAGCTATGAGAGGGATCTATGTTGAACACTGAGGCCACGGGGAGTCCTACTGGAGCCTGAGGCAAAAAAAAGAAAAATGTAAACCCCTGTAGATGTTTATCAGAATAACCTCTCATATTCTGAACTGAGTGGAAAGATCAATAAAACCTCTACAATCACAAAGTTGCCCAATTTGTCCACACCCCATTGTCAACCCTCCTAAGCCCACGCGGCAGGGGACAGCCCAGCTAGCTACTGGGAACTTTGGGCTGGTTAGAAGCAAGTGTCCATGGCACAATAGTGCAAGACCATAAAACAACCAAGCACCACTTACCTGACCTTAAGCTTTTGATATTTTGCTCACTGTGAATTTTTTGCATATATTTTTTTTTAAATAACTTTAAAAAAATGGTTTGTCTTTATTCATGAGTTTTTTGGCAGAAAGCTACTCCTTGCTCATTCGGAGATCTGAACCACCTGATGCCCCATTTCCAGTTTAGCTCCCTCTAGAGGCTGCCAACCCAGGCAGAGGCCTCGCTCAGGTTCCCCAATGTAGCCCTGTTCTAGTCCTCATCCCCAACCGAACCAGCCACCTCTGGAATGGTTCCTGGCAGCCCAGTCTCTGCTGCAGGACTGGACACCCCCGCTCAGTGACCCTGCAACTTTTTAACAAACATGTACCCTCCGCTCCAGCATCAGTTGTAACCACGAGTTTTCAGTCTATCACAACCCAGACTCTTCCAACTAGGTGAGAATTCAGTGCTGGAAAGAGGGTGATGTCAGTAATAGCCCCAAGAAGTTGCACACCGCTAGGGCAGATGAGGGAGGTACAGGGTAGAAGGGCCGAGGCAGGGGCTCAGGGTCCTCCTGGCAGGAAGCTGGTCTTCGGAGATAGGAGGAAGCAAAGCTGCATGTATTTCATGACACTCACGTGTATTTCATGAGACGTGGACTGTGGACCACTGAGGCCTTCAGCTGATCTGCTCCAGGAGTGAGGAGAGGGAAGGGGCACAGAGTTGTCCCACATAAACCTCCATCCAGAGCAACGGGGTCATTGCCAATACTCACGTGCCCCAAGACCCCTACAGGACAGGGAGGCAGCCAGGGAGGAGCTGGAGAGCTCCACGTATCTTCCTCCATCATTTGCCTGCAGGAAGACTCAAGTTCAAGCCGGCTTTTATCCAACTGGTTGCCAAGGTGGATGGTCATTGTCTTTCTTGATTTCAAATAGTTAGAATTTACTTGGGGATCAAAGGCTAAACATGACTTCGGCAAGTAAAGCCAAAGCAGGTGTCTTCCAGAAGGGCAAACCCTTTCTTGTCCAAATTCACTGTAGACTAGATACTTCTCACTCTGCAGTCTACACCTTCCCCTTGGGCCCCACTCCGTTCATGGTCACATCATTTACTGAGTCGATAATCCCTACCCCAATCTCCCAACACCAATTCATCACTAAGTCTGGATGGCTAATCCCTTCCATGTACCTCAAATCTGCTCCTTCTCTCCATCACCACGGCACCTTCCTGGCCCCAGCCATCATCTATTTCCTCTCCCGTCGATCTCTGCAGAAGCCTCCTACATGCAACCCTGCATCCTAATCAGCACCTCACATTTTCAACGTGCAAAATGGATCATGTCCCCTGCGGAAAATACTCCAGAACAGACCTCAAAGTTCTTAACCTGAGCTTCATGACCCTGTGGGACTAGCTCTGTCCATCATCCTCTCCAAACAACCCCACCTGCCCCCAGCTCATCCTGGCCTTAGGACATCTCCACTCTCCCCAGAGCGAATTTCTACTCTTCCCTCGTTCTGCCAGGAGGACAGCCAGGAGGCAGAGCGGAGAGCATTTGGAGAGCTGCGCTCAGACCTGTGAGCAGCCTATCCAGCAAGTGGACATACTGACTGACCCACCAGGCTTCAGGCCCCCCTTGGGGAGAAGCATTCAAACCCCCAGGCCAGCTAAATCACTCAAGTGATGAGAAGACAGTTGGGTCTGCATTTTGAGCCAAACTCTCCTTAAACAGAACCTGTCCTTGGGCCCTTTCCAAGACCCCTTTCTGGGACCCCAGGGGAGCCTCACAGGTCAGTGTCTCCTAAATGGCTATTTCGCTCCCATATACATTAGAACCCATGTTTCTCAAATGGCATTTTGAGAACTCAGCCATTTCGGTAGAAAGTAGCATGAAAACCCATGTCTGAGGGATTTCTGAATGGTATGACTTTTGGAACAGGATGACAGGAGGACAGGAAAAGAGGTAAGAGCAAAAAAAAAAAAATAGCTTTAAAGAGAGGGAGTTAAATGGTTTATTTGAATTTAAAATACTAAAAATATCAGGAGCACCTGGGGGGCTCGGTCCGTTAAGCATCTGACTCTTGATCTCGGCTCAGCTCTTGATCTCCAGATTTTGAGTTCAGGGACTGCGTTGGGCTCCATGCTGGGCATGGAGCCTACTTAAAAAAGAAAACACTAAAATTATCAAAAGCACAGTAAAATACCACTTTCTGTACATTAAAATGACTATAGTTCAAAAAGGGAAAGGGGCACCTGGGTGGCTCAGTTGGTTAAGTATCTGCCTACAGCTCAGGTCATGATCCTGGGGTCCCGGTGATCAGGGATCCAGCCCAGCACTGGGCTCCCTGCTCAGCAGGGAGTCTGCTTCTCCCTCTCTATCTCTCTGCCCCTCCCCCTGCTCATGCTCGCTCTTTCTCTCTCGCTTGCTCACGCTCTCTTTCTAGTAAATACATGTTTTTTTAAAGATTTTATTTATTTATGAGAGAGAGAGAGAGAGAGAGAGCGAGCACAGGCAGACAGAATGGCAGGCAGAGGCAGAGGGAGAAGCAGGTTCCCTGCAGAGCAAGGAGCCCGATGTGGGACTCGATCCCAGGACGCTGGGATCATGACCTGAGCCGAAGGCAGCTGCTTAACCAACTGAGCCACCCAGGCGTCCCAGTAAATACATTTTTTAAAAGGGAGAAAGAAAGAACATAGCAAGAATTGGCGAGAATGTGGAAAAGTTAGAACCCTTGCACACCGCTGATGGGGACGTACGATGGTGCAGCACCTTGGAAAACAGGTGGGCCGTTTCCCAAAAGCTTCAATATAGAGCGGCCACGGAACCCAGCAATCTATCCCCCAAAGAATGGAAAGCAGGAGCCTCAGGGGGTCCTTATACATGTTTATAGCAGTGATAACGCACGATAACCACAGGGCTGGAAGCCACGCGGGCGTGGACTGGATAAACAGGACGTGGAGAATCCACACAATGGAATATTCCTCTGCCCTAAAAAGGAAGGACATTCTTTTTTTTCTTTTTTTTTAATATTTTATTTATTTACTTGACAGACAGAGATCACAAGCAGGCAGAGAAGCAGGGAGAGAGAGAGAGGAGGAAGCAGGCTCCCCACTGAGCAGAGAGCCCGACGCAGGACTCGATCCCAGGACCCTGGGATCATGACCCCAGTGGAAGGCAGAGGCTTTAACCCACTGAGCCACCCAGGCACCCCAAGGAAGGACATTCTGACACATGCTGCAGCACGACTGAATCATGCCAGACGCAAAAGGACCAATAGACAGCATAATTCCACCAATAGGAGGGACGTGGAGGAATCAAATTCATAGAGACAGCAAGTAGAATGGTGGTTGCCAGGGGCGGGGTTGGGAAGAATGGGAAGTTGGTGTTGAAGGTGTACAAGTGTCTCAGCTTCAGGGGAAGGTCGAACAACCACATATACCT